ATGGCCATGTGGGAGGGCCAGTGTCCACATTTGACTGGCAGCCAGCCAGCTACTCATCAGGCATCCTAGGATGGTTGGCATGGTGCAAGACACCTTTAGATATTAATTAAGACTCTGATGTCACAGATTTGTCTGGAATACGTATCCATGCAAGGCATGTATAGGTGCTCCATGTTAGGTTTATTCTGGATTCAGAGAGAACTGGGGTTAGAGTCTGTCTCTGCCACTCACAGGTACATGTGACTTCTCCAAGCCTTGATTCCTCACGGTGGCAGGGACAGTAATAGCCCAAACTTCTCATGGAGGTTAGATGGTCAATGCCTAGCCCGTTAGCCTCTGGAGGGGCATCTCAGAGGACCCCTCCCCTCAGTTCCTTGGAGTCCCCAGCCAGGTTGGGTTCTGCCAGACAGTATAGTCTGGGTTATTGGTGTTTTCTTTCCCCTTTGAACACAATGCTGTGCCCAAGGCCTTCATGTCTCAGGCTGTTTCCAGGCAAGTACCAATGATGCCCTGCACAAAGCCCACACACACCCACCTGCTGCTGTTACTGGGTGTCTCTGTAAAGAACTCTATCTGGCTGCAAGTCAGAAAGGTGCCTCTGGCTGTGCCGAGGGTAGAAGTGGTGGCCTCAGGGCACTGTGGTGTCAGCTGACCCCACTGTCCCTCATGGCCCAGAACTTATGGAGACCAAGCCTTCTACATGAAAGACTGACCCAGAGTAGGGTAGGGGCTGACCAGACAAGTTTCCCAGGGAAGACACAGTGAACAGAGACAGACAGAGAGGGGGTTTGGGGGAGAAGGGATTTTGACTGATTTTAGTCGAACCTAGGTGAAAAGTGGTTAGACAATTTCACTAGTGCTGCCATGTCCACCCACCGCCTTTCTTGCCCACAGACCACCGAGGTTGCCGAGATGAATGGTAGAGAGTGCATTATTCAACTGTTCAGCCCACCTTTCAGGATCCATTCTGGTTCTGGGATTCTGATTTCCTCCAGGAGCTGACTGTCCTCTACGTGGGATAAGGGCTCGTAGTCCTTTCTCTGCTAACATTGCATGGAGCCAACATTTCTTACTGCTTTCTTGTTTACCTGTGAATTGTCCCTGGCTCTCCCTGTGTGAGAGTACCCGGCAGATCTGTGTGTTTGTGGTGTCTTAGAAAACTGTAATTACTGTCTGTCCTGAGGTCCCCATTTCTGGGGAGCCCCTGAGAACCTGTTGGGTCGTTTTTTTTTTTTTCTCTTAATGTGGGTTTCTTAACTGGAGCCCAGCAAGGACCTCAGAGTCCTGGGCCGGGTTCTTCACTAGAGGGAATTCGGAGTCTGTTGGACTGGAATTTCCTGGGGAAAATGCAAAGATGCAGCCAGGTTTTTTTTTTTCTTTCCTTTTTCCGGTTTCTGGGGGTTGCTACTGTAAGCTCTTTGCAGAGAGAAGGGAAAAATAGTTTTCTATTAACCAAGAAGAATTATATTTATCACCGTAGACCAGAATAGAACATGTGGCCCACACTGGCAATTTGCTACTTTTAAGGAATTCTGTTTTGTCACACGGCCCAGATGGAGACGTTGATTTGCTCCTGGCTCCTTCTCTATATGCTGTTTCCACTTTCTCCTTTCATCTGTATTGACCATATGCTGCCTTCTTCATTACAAGAGAGGAGGGGGCACCAAGTGAGGCCTGTGTGCTGCCTGGGAATGGCCCAGATTTGGAATCGGTGCCCAGACTGTCACTTCCTGGCTCTGTCAGTGACCTTGAGCGGGTCTCTTTGCCTCTCTGAGCCTCAGTGTCCCCATCTGTTAAATGATGTGCATCAGTAACTCCCTGCCCTCAGATGAAATGTTAGAATCTATGTGAAAATGCCTTGTAAATTGTGAATCACGCTACACACTAGCTGTCATTCTTCCAGCAACTGGAATAGTACTTGGTGGCATGTGGGCTCAATGATGAAATTCTTGATGAAAAACTGGAAGCCATCTTTGCTTCATGGTGCTGAAGGTAAGGTGCTTCCCCGAGTGCTTCACAGCCATCGTTTTTGTTTTGGGTGCACCGTGGTCTTCTGCAAATGAGGGAACCCAAGCATAAGGAGGGGAGGCAATGGAGGGAGAGACCTGGCTGGACTCTAGACCAGAACCAGGCCCTCAGGCTGGAGCTCCCATCCACTGCACGCCTCTTCCCTAGCGAAGGCTCTTGCCTATGTCTCAACACCATTTGCCCCTCTCTTTGGGAAATCTGTTCCCTACATGTGGGTTACCCAGAGAATCAAACTCTCAGGAAGGTGGGACATTTGCTTGACGTCTGGACCTTTATTGGACTCAGAGCTGAGGGGGACTGCGTTTCCTCATGAGCCTGGATCTGCAGACAGCATGGTGATGCCGGGGGCTCCCTTGGTCTGTAGTGTTGGAGCTGCCTGGGCCACGGTGTTGGGGTCACCTGGACCGTGGTACTGGGGGATTGCCTTTCTCCACTCTCCTTGTCTGTCTGTCCCACACTCCTTGCTTGTCTCCAGAGAAGCCACCCTGACTGAGAGAAGGGTTGCCCCGAATGCTGACTTCTGGGAGGGCTGTAAAGAGCATTCTTTCACAGAGCTTAGGCTTTTTTCTCACATATTTTGTGAATTTTTTTTGGTGAAACATCTTGTCTTTCTGCCAAATCAGATTCGGCTTTATCAGAAGTTTGCTTTGATTTTGCCTAACAATCAGGGCCTTTACAGATTCCTGGGCGGGCGCTTTCTGAGGTTGCCGTCTTTGATGGTTTTCCCGCCGACAGTGACATTCCTGTCCACAGAAGTGAGATGCATGCTGAAGTGTTATCCAGGCACCTACTAATGTGTCCAGGTCTCTGGGTCAGCCTTCCTCCTTTGTTTTTATGAAACTTTTCATTGATTGGCTTCTAGATCCTAAAGGGGGCACTAATTTTGCGATATTTTTTCAGCTTACATGCAAAATGAAAGACATTTCCAGCAGGCATCACCCCAGAATTAACAAAAAGAGTATTTCTCTTGACTGGGCCCAGTATGCTCCTTGAATTTCTTGACGATGTAAGGTTTAATAAGATTTAAGACTTAATAAGTATCCTTTGAGATTTTTTAAAAAAATCTTTTATTATTATTATTTTGTTTTAAAGATGTGGGAAACTATTCAGGGTTAGGTATACAAATGGTCATTGTACAGGTAAAGTTTGGGCCTCAACTTTGGTCCCCACTTCACCTGGTTTGAGACTGGGTATGCTTATTGATGAAGTGTGCTCCCCACCAAATCTTTTTTTTTTTTTTTTTTTTTTGAGTTGGAGGCTCACTCTGTCGCCCAGACTGGAGTGCAGTGGCATGCTCTGGGCCACCGCAGCCTCGACCTGCTGGGCTCCGGCGATCCTTCCGCCTCAGCCTTCCGAGTCGCTGGAACTACAGGCACGCGCTACCACGCCTGGCTGATTTTCTGATTTATTGTAGAGATGAGGTCTCGCCAAGTGGCCCAGGCGGGTCTCGAACCCGCGGGCTCAGGCAATCCACTCACCTCAGCCTCCCAAAGGCACAGGATGACAGGCTGAGCCACTGAGCCCGGCTTCCTTTGAGATTTTAATAAGTATCTTTCTTTTGGAGATGTGACAGTAGGATAATCTGAAATGACTTCATTAATGGGCACACTCCATTAGCTGTTTTTGGGATTTCAAGTTGCTTTTTAAAATCCAAACTAAGTCTCTTTCTCCATTCACTGACCAGTTTGTTCATTCATTCATTCTTTCATTCATTCCAGCCTCTATGTCCCAGGCTCTGGAAATAGAGCAGTGAGCAAAGCCAGACATAGTCCCTGCTCTCATGAACAGATGAGTCTCACTGGGCTGCAAGGCTACCACCAAGGTCAGGTTTGTAGAGCCGTGATGGCGGCTGCTGGTGCCCTGCCTGGGTCTTTCTTTACCACAGTCATCCTCGTCCCCTGGCTGCTGTCTCGGCTGCACACGGCTCACAGCTGCTCCCTCCCGCCTCTGCAGAAGTGCCCTCTGCAGAAGTGCCCACTCCTTGACTGGTCATTCTGCAGCCAGAGGTCAGCTCCAGTGGAAACAGCAGCTTCTTGTCTCAAGGGGGCAACGTTGTGGGCAGTTACTGCTCCAGAGCTCCTGTGGGATCCGCTGAGCCAGACTGTGGCTTAGACCACCGTTTTGCTTAGCTCCTCCCCTTGTCCCCCACTTCCTGCTTCCTTCTCTCCTGCTCTCCTTCAGTCCATCATGGGCACCCAAATGCCTGCATCAGGCTCTGCTTAGAGGCAACTTGACCCAAGACGGGTGCTATCAGAGCCCGTCAAAGTGAGATCTGATTTGGTGGGAAGCTCAGAAAAGCTAGTTTAAGGAGGTGATGCCTGCGCTGAGGTTTGCAGGATTGGCAGGGGCTAATTAGCTAGAGAGTGAAGTGAAAGGTGCTCCAGGTGGAGGAGCAGCACATGCCAAGTTCTGGTGGGGAGGATGCATGAACTGAAGGCTAAAAAGAGACCAGCATTGCTGGAGCAGAGAGAGGGGAGCCCAGTGTGAGAAGAAGCTGAGGTGTCAGCAAGAGCATGGCAAGGTAGACATCCTAGGCTGTGACAAGGATGCTCTCCAGTTGGTGGTAGCCTCATCACCTACTGGTACCACACCAGTGCCTTGGAGAGAGTTGGATGGGAAAAGCCTGGCTAGTGGAAAATGCTAGCACTGGGGTCACAAGTCTGGGGTTCCGCTTCCAGTTCTAGCAGATGTATGATGTCTCTGGGCCTCAGTGAGAGTCAAATGTACTACCCCAATGCATTCTGCAGTCTGATAAGAATAACAACTTGCAGGTGTTTGTGTTCCTGGGTGTTGATAATAACACTAATCCTATCCTTTAACCGGAGACCCTTTGGAATCCAAAGTACTGTCACTGGGAATGGGGATGCGGAGAGGGAGATGACTGCTTTGCAGAAGAGGACAATTGAGCTCTTAGCATACTGAGCCAGCCCTGACATATGTGGAAGTAAAGACTTCTCTCTCTCCCTTTTTAGGTAAAAACAGCAACAGAAAAGGCATGAGAACCAAGAGCTCCGAGAAGGCTGCCAATGATGATCACAATGTCCGCGTGGCCCCTGAAGATGTCAGAGAGAGTAAGTGAGGCTCTCGGAGAGCCCCTACCCCGTCCCCTCCCCTGTCCAGGAAGGGCAGAAGGGTGCAGCAGCCTGACTCCAGATTCCCTGAGTGTGGAGCTGTCTGGGGCCTGCTGTCTATTCTTAACCACGTGCGGGGGTGAGAACATTCCCAGTAGCTTCTGCAGTGTATTCACACTTCTGCAGGGCATCAGAACTCGCAGTCACATTTTCCTGATGGATTCCACTAGAGTCATTTTTGAATTTCCTGGAGCTCTTGTTTGCTTTCCCTACCTCTCTCTCCTTGAAGACAGTATCACTTCCTTTCTTGTGGACTCTCTTAGCCGTCTGCAGTCTTGGGTGGGTATTCCTTATCTCCCAACCCAACCCGGGAGCCTCTGGGTCCGAGGATGTCTTCTCCTTCCAAAATATACAGGGCTAGGCCTGGTGTCTTACAGTCATGTGAACATATCAGACCTTTAATTACTTACCTTAGAATGATCAGCGGTTTTAGCTCTAGGCTCATAAACAAGCTCAGGCTCATTAGTGTAGCTATTACTATTATTAACTATTACCATGACTATTATTGTCTCTTTATTGTTCTACACTGTGGTATCCAGGATCACATTTCTACTGATATTAGTAATAGCAGCCATTTTTTAAGCACTTAATAGTTGCCAGGCTCTTGGCCCTATATTTGACATGCCCCTCTGAGTATCATGGGCACTATTATTATTATTATTATTATTATTATTTATTATTATCCTTGTTCCACAGAAGAGAAAAATGAGATTTGGTGATATGAATAATTTGCCCAGGGTTACACAGCTTATAAATGGCAAAACAGGGATTTGAACCCAAGATTTGCTGAGTCTAGACTTTTTGTTTAGCAATATGACTGCTTAAAATAAATGGAGTGCTTCACGACTTTGCATTTACAAAGTCAGGACTCATTTTCAGCTGCCATGCGAGCCCATAAACCTTGTCACAGAGTTGATTGTCACAGAGGGAATTGCTTGTTCCCTTAGGCACAATGTAATGATTTGGGGCTGCATTTCTAACCAAGAACTTACCATCAAAGAAATTGTAGAGATGACTAGCAGTGTATCCTAAAATAAAAACAGAAGTCAACAACAATGAACTTCTGCAACCACTCACCATATGTAAAGTGTGTTCCCTCTTAAAGTGAGCAGGCATGCACTGTACCTATTCCCATCAAGAGGAGTCAGGCTATTGGGCGAACATATTGTACACAGTGCAATGCTGGGACTATGTTTCTGCTGGTTTACCTTGATGGTGTGACCATGTGGGGTCTTCACGAAGTGGGGGATAATGGGACTCCCCACCTTGGGTGGGCCTTGGACATCGATATTCTGTGTCCTTGCCCAAATAGGCTGATGAAACACCAGCTCTTTCTTCAGGGTCACAGATGCCAAGGGCTAACATGGCTTTGAAAGCTGACTTTTCCTCTCTGGATTCCTGCTGCCATCAGATCTAGGTCTGGTAATTCTTCACTCCTTGTTAATTTTTAAATGCCTCTAAACATATTTTAAAACATATTTTGTCCAGGTTTTTTTTTTAGTAGCTTCAGTGGAAGAGTTGGTTTGAATTATCTTAGTTTTTCATTATCAGAATTGAAAGTTCTTAACATTTGGGGAGACATTTTCAGAATGGTTTTTGAAGGTCCACTTCTTCACACACACACACACACACACACACACACACACACACACACACACACACAGAGTCTGAACTCGCCTCCTTTTCTGCCATGGATACAGCCCTTCTCCTGACTGGCCCACTCAGAATTGTTCCTGTGGCCTTTGCCTCATGACTCTGTCAGGTCAGGATCTCTGGTCTCTAAGGCAGCCATCATAGCCCTGAGTCATTCGGCGCCCTCGATGGGATTTTAACCTGTGAAACGTCTATTAAAAAGAAAAGGAGGGATTGAAGACAATCTTGGAGAAGAAAAGCAGCTGGAGGGATCCTGCTGTGTGGATGGTGAGCACGGAGGTGTTGCATGTGGAGGCAAGAGTGGTGTGGCAATTAGGAACACAGGCCTAGAGTCGGGTGGTGGCACCTGGGCGGGGCGGGCCTCAGATATAGAGCTGGATGGAGAGATCTAGAACATTCTCAGGACCTTGAATCCACCCTACTCTTGGCATCTCCTCTGTTTGCACTGGGGGGTACAACCTTGGGGGTGATGCAGCAGAATGTTGGGTGGTACAGATGCCAACTACATCATGTTTAAGGTGCTGGGCAGCTCAGATGTTAACCACATCCAGTCATGTGAGTAAATGGCGTTAAAGGTTTATCTCAGAAGCGGAAGTCACCCTTGAGGAAATATTACTTTGAGGAAGAGAATATGGGCATGGCTGTCACTGTGATTAAGGAGCAGTATCAGCGTGGCAGGTACCCAAAATACATTCTGGATGTTGTCTGATAAGAGTTTATGAAGTTGGCTGAGTCACTATTCTAATTTTTCATCTCTCCCGATGTCCCCATCCTTTGCCGTGTAACTCTTTAGTTCCCTTTGCCAAAGGTGGGAGCCTTTCTTTTGCTTCTTGTGCCTCTTTTTCATGGCCGTGCTCCCTCCCTCTCTCAAGTCATAGTGATTTCTATATCTTGCTCTTTGGTTCTGAGAGACTATGAATGCTTAAGAGCAGGGCCCCTGTGTAATTTGTCTCTGGATATACCCCAGTGTTTGTAGCAGCACTTGATAAGATGTTTATTGTGCACCTGCAGTATGCTGGAGCCAGCAATCTGTTGTACAGAGCAGGTGCTCCTCATATGTTTGGGTGGGTTCTCCACAACCCAGAACAGCAGGGCTGACCGTCCCAAGAAAGTGGCCTTTGACTTTGGTGCTTAGAACAAGATCTCTAGGGAAGAAACATGTTCTCCTGTCAAGATAGAAGAAGGATGGTTTCCCCAATACATGTGGGTGAGTGGGAGCTTGCTTGATACTTCTCCCTCATACCTGGGCTGGATGAGATTTGAGGCCTTAACTAGGCTCTGTGTTTGGGGATTGGCCAATTTAACATACGTGTGTGTGTGTGTGTGTGTGTGTGTGTGTGTGTGTGTGTGTGTGTGTGTGTGAGATAAGTATCACAATCAGTTTGTTTTTTTCATCCAAGCCCTTGTTGTGACTGTTTTCCCTTTATGGCATGACCAGAGAGTTTTCTGGGGCTCAGTTTGGGTCTTCTTAGCATCTGGCATAGCTGGTGAGGGCGATGGAGTTGTTCCCAGCCCCCTGATTCTGGAGGGTTTTACCAATACAATAGAGTAGTGATAAACAGTCACATATGAATTCCAGACCCTTTGGGGAGTGAGAGGAGCCAAGAAAAGCAGAATTGGGGCAGAGTCGTACCCCTTTTGACAGACCTTGGTTAGGAAGCTGGAGAAATTAGGGCACTGGGAGACCTTGGCCTCCCACTCCTTGCTATTTTCTACTTTCAGCTCCATCTCAAACATGCCTAAAAAGTTACTCTTAATTCTCTAAAATGAAACATGTGCCTTTGAAGGCTTTTTATAGCATTCCTTTACAATGTGGAGAGATTTATTTTGTTCTTCAAATAATGGTTCTATGGCAGGTTCTCTACTGGGTTCAATTAGGGGTCCTGGGCTAGCTGCAGCCTGCAGTAGATGTGTCTGTAAACAGAGTGCGTCTATTAACACCACATGAGCAATGTGGTTGTAGGCTTCAAAAGCTGTGGTCTGAATCAGAGCCACAGTGGACCTGCTGGTCTAGAAATACTTCCCAGGTAAGGACTTATGGGACAGAACTCTGATGTGCTCAGTAGTATCCGTTGGTGGCATAAAAAGGTGACATTCATTTGTATCACCCAGTTGACCCCAAGTGTGGTTCTCATTGACCAAGTACACACCGGTCTGTTTGCGAGGGAGAAATTCTAGGACTGTTTCTCTTTTAAATGCACGTGGCAAAAGCTAGTAAATGCATTTCTGTTACTGAGGATTTTATTCTTGTGCTACTCTGACCTGTCTTCTTTCTATCTTCTCAATGTTTCTGTGATGAAATCCTTTTTTAGTCCATATTACTGATTCTGGGATGTATTTAGCAGAAAATCAAATTTGCCATGTTATGCCGTAAAGCTTTACAAAAAGTTGGTACTTAAACCACTTGAGGTAGAAATTATTTTGCCTTGGCTTATTAAATGTTTGACTATGAAAGCAGTAAACACTTGCAATAGACTGTGTCCCCACAAAATTTGTATGTTGAAATTCAAAACCCCAAGGTGATGGTATTTGGAGGTGATTAAGTCACGTAGGTGAAGTCCTCATGAATGAGATTGGTGCCCTTATAAAAGCGACCCCTGGGAAACTCCCTTGTCTTTTTCTCCATGTGAGGACACAAGAAGATGGCTGTTGTCTGTGAACCAGGAAATGAGCCCTCACCAGACACTGAGTCTGTTGGTGCCTTGTTGAACTTCTCAGCTTCCAGAACTGTGAGAGATACATTTTCTGTTGTGTATAAGCTACTCAGTTCATGGTGTCCTGGTATAGCAGCCTGAATAGACTAAACAGTACCCAAATGGAGGGATGATTGCTTCTCCATTGTTTTGCAGGGACACCTGTTGGATGTCAGGTGTCCATATATGACTGGCTTTGTTTTGGGCTCCCTGTTCTTATCATTAATTTATTTTTCTACTCATGCATGAAATACCTCACTTCCTTAATTATTATAACTTCATATCGGATCTTTGATATCTAGTAGAGCAGGACCTTATTCTTTAAAAGTTTTGGTAATATTTGACACATTGTGTGCACACATCACACATACACATTTGCATCATTTGTCAAGTTCTACAAAAACTTTCTTGGAATTTTGTTTTGTTTTTGTTTTTTTGAGTCGGAGTCTCACTCTGTCGCCCAGACTGGAGTGCAGTGGCCGCTCCCGGCCACTGTAGCCTAGATTTGCTGGGCTCCAGTGATCCTTCCGCCTCAGCCTTCTGAGTAAACTGGAATTGCAGGTGCGTGCTACCACGCCCAGCTAATTTTTTGAT